AGTCCCTGAACTTGGCGGTCAGAGTGGGACCGTCAACAGTAGATGTAACTCGGCCTTTTAATAAGGGTGGAACAAGCCGTAGGTCAGAAATGCTACTTTTCTTTACGGCACTTTCCGAGGGTATTTTTGATAATGATGGTCCTGAAAAGAGAATAAGAACTTCTATGCGACGCACTTTCACCGCTCGACACCGTGAAATCTGAGGTTGAGCATTCACCAGATGTCCGGTTGCTAGATAATGACATGCATGGAACCGGAAATTTAGAACCAACCTTTTGGAATGCAGACCTCTAAAGATTTCCATCCTCAAAAGGTAAAAGGAGAGGGGCTGACGACCCCTGAAGGCCCGACCTTATATTGCGGCAAAGTAGGTACGATGTCGAACGATTGACCTTGAGTTGATGTAATTTGGGAACAGTAAAACGACGATGATATTTATATTGAAGAGCTCCTAAAGTCCTTTATTACCACTATACATTTTCCAGGAAACAAGATATTTCTGAATATCGGCGGTTTTACAACTAAAATCGTACATATGCAAACTTGGGCGGGACAGTTGAATGTTTAATAGATATATATCAAGGGAAGTAAAAGGAGGGCCAGAAGGTAATATGACGCTCTAAAGCCCAGTCAACACAATGTTCCCTTTAATGTTATCAGTTAGTCTAACTAAGGGATGCATCAATCTTTTCATGGATAGCTCTCGAAGTAGACTTGTCATACATAACTTTTTGCTTTAACCAGAAAACCTTGGACTTGAGAAGGGCTGAAGAAGATGAATTTCTCAGAAGAAAATGTGATGCATGCATGCCCAACTGCATGTAATCGAAGCGGCGAAATGGTGGTAGGAGGCATCATTAAAGTTGAAAGGTGATGGGTCGCACCCTTCAGTCGGCAGAGATTGCCACCAATGCATTGGCATTTGCAAATTCGACAATGATTGAAATATCTGTTTATTAGCATTCTATTAAAATTTTATGCAGCTGTATGTTAGCAGTACTTTTATTCGTAACTTCTCAATGAATCCGGCATTTGAAGAATCATTTTTCATGTATTGTTGCTTACGGAATATGACGAGCCAGTCTACTGCCCATGAGTGCATCGACGCTGCTTGAATAACATACGAAGCTTGCGACAGGGGTAAGATTATAAGATATCAGGAAGAAACTGTCATGATCTAGTTTCCAAAATCATGACGTTAAAACGTCTTGAGGCGGTATATTGCAATTTTACGCACATATATTTTGCAGGGTAGGCTTGTGGCGGTCAAGAATGTGAGATCAACTTAAACCACGCACAATAAGTTCGTTTCGTCTACTGTCAGAAGTCAGGGAGCTGTGAGGACTAGTTTATTCTGTACACAGGGCAGGTTGCCGTAAGTTGGCTGTTTGCTTGTAACAGAGAAAAGCGTCCGTTCACGGAGAGCGTCAGTCGCGGTGTGTGTTTACGCGGTCGTGAGTGTCTGGGTCAGTAGGAAGGGGGAATGACTGTCTGAGTGGTGGTCGTGTGATTGGACAAATTAAGGGGGGGGATGGAGGGTGCATACTCACAAGGCCTCACGGAAATCAAGCCAAAGCGTTCGACGCGTGTTAGATGATACTAGTTTGTGAGGGCAGCCGGGGGTCACTGCAGA